TGAGACAAATTAATCTGTGATGAAATAGAGCTGTGCTAGCACAGAGTGTAAGTGCCTTGCTTCTTTTGACTCTGTAAAGCAGGAAACTCTCCACTGTTATAAAGCCTTGCCAACAAAACACACCATAGGTATTTTTTAAGGCTGTGTAGATCCCACACAACTTCTTCGCATAACCACCTCGCTGAAAATATCATTAATCTCACGGCACCCAGAAACAAAAATTCTGAAAACAGCCCAGCAATCACAAGCAGAATACACGATAAACACCATAGAAACATATTTACTATTTACATACAACCCTGTAAGTCTTTGGAGACTTCATACCAGATGCATTTTATCACTGCTGTTCTCATATGCTAAGACAGTTTTAATCCTCTGTTAGCTCACAGCTGTTACTATTAATCCACTGCATAACCACGGGCTGGGAGCTTTATTTAAAGGGAGCGTAGAAAGTTCAAATGCTCTCACAAACACAGCTCGCATATTACGGCAGGAACACTGTCCCCAAAAGCCTCCCTATTCCCAGTCAATCATCCCCGAGCTTTCAAAAAAAAAAACCAACCAACCTTCGGCGTTTAGGTGCTTTCAAGTTTCTGCTCAGACACATGGCAACTGCCACTCTGGGCAGGCCAAAACCAGACAGAAATAATTCTGAGATGGAGGGATTTTACCTTCTAGACAGTGGTGCTACTCTCACGCTGTATGTTTATACGTACAGTGTTTACAACCTCACGCGCATCCTCCACGTTCACAGAGGGCCAGACTAGACTCTTAACTGTTGTGACCGATGTTGGCAAATTCTCCTCCACCCTTCCCTTTCTCTGATCAGCTGCTACCACCATTAAGCCTCCCCAAGGGTTCAAGATGTTTTAAAAAAAAAAAATTAAATTTTTTTTTTTTTTTTTGGCAGACACAGGAGTTACGCAGCAGCACTGCACCACTCTGACCTACTCCTTTTCCTGTAGCTTTCAACACAGGAATTTCCAATCACTCAGTCTTACACAGGACTGAAGTCTCCAGACATCGAGCTCCTCAACCTTTTGTGATTCCAGAAGTCATCTGTGTATGAGTGGGCACAGGCTGTGGCCTGAACTTACAGTATGGGGGAACCTGACAGGAGCCTGCCCTGGAGGCAGAAACCAGACCGTAGCTCACATAACCAGATTCAGTGAAAATACCATACCTAGCTACCATGGAAACTGCTCTACTTCACAAATTCCCTATTCTCTTTCTATGAGTGAGTATTACTATTCTATGTTGATGGCAAAGTAAGCGTTATTGGCATATTATGTGAAAGTCATGGAACTTCTCACACGGTTTCATTCAGCTCCTTTGTCCAAAGAGAAAATGCTCTATTTCACTTCAAGTGTCTGCCTTGAGACATCCCTTCCCCTTACACTCAGACTTAAGAAGAGGATGCAATACGCCACTCTAGAGCCAGCAACCAATCAACCTAAGGGACCCACAAGGAAGAAAAGTTTTGGGTTTCTTTTTCAAAGAAAAGAAGTCACAAAAGGCAGGAATGAAAACCATCCTTTTGGGAGGGACATTTAAAAGTGTTCCTTACTTAAACTGATGTTTCAGAAGACAATGTCATTAAAAGATGTATAAACTTCAGCTCTTCAATCAAATTAATACAAACATGACATCAATAACACTTTTCACAAACACTTCTGTCTGTCCAGCTGTCCCTCAAGGTGTAATATTGTCTCCAGGAATGGGGTGGGGTGGGGGGTTCAGAAGCAGACAGACAGAAAGAGAATTGAAACTCCTTTTGAATATAGAAGATTGTCTGGTACACAGAAGACCGCTGCAGTTACCAGGACAGAACTCTTCTGCCTTGTATTTTCTTCAGATACAATGATTTTTTTTTTTTTTCCCTCAGAAGAAACCTGCTTGTTATATTTTCACTATGATTATAATTATTATTTTTCTTCTAAAAATTTCACTGATACCCTGGACTATGCCTTTTCACTCCATTTTTTGAACCTCCAGCCATAATTTATAAATATCCTGAGATCAAATCCTCCCTGTGCTGCTCCCAGGTATATTCTTTCCAAGGGAACTCAGCTGAAGTGACACATTACCCAACATATATAACTCAAGTGGTGGCTACATGCTCTACAGTCCCCTATAACCAGCTCTTTTGTCCCAATGCCTGATAAGATTATTTATAGAAAACCCTACTATTGTCACAAAGTGATGATTTTGGCTTATTTCCAGGTCTTGTAAAATGCACACATCTTTTGTTCCCTTTTCTTCTATTTCCTCAAGTGTTCTTTATTTTTGTAAACAAAACTTCAAGGCTTCAGTTGTGTTTCACTACTGCGGATCAATGACACCTTGTAAGGAAGGAAAAGTTAAACGCCTGCCATGGCAAATCGTACCATTTTATCGCCTTTTCTGGAATTACCAACACGAACCACCACCACTACAGGCTAGGCTACCTAAGATGTTGATTCTGTCTAATTATTTTGATGGTATTTAAGAAGAGTAGTTCTTATGCGACTTCCTGCCTGCCACAGATACTTCCACTCCCACACAGTAACCTCATGTTGGGCCCAACAATTTAAATCAAATCAAAGCACGTCAATCATCAGGAAGCTAGAAGCTCACACTCAAAGCACTGAAACCAATGAATGGACATACTCCAGGTCTCTGCCAATGGCCTTTGCTG